GGGTGTGTGTCAGAGAAAGCACTTTCTGCTTCAAGTGCACCCACCCACCAGCAGGCTAAAAGTGGCCTGAAGCCTCTCTTTCCACAGTTCCCACCTGTTTTCCTGGAGGTTTACAAGCATCACAGACAACCAGTGGGAAAATCTGTAAAGAGAGGCTCCCAGAGTCATTCCCTTCCCTTGGACAAGTGATGAAGGAGCACTTGACCTTGAATCAAAAGGCCTCTCGGCTCCAAGGTTGACTCTGAGTGATTCTGCACTAGACCTTAAATCCTGGTTCAACCCTGTCCCCGAACGTACATTCTACACTACACTCTAGTTCACCCCTGTAAATATCTCGGGGTATTTTCTGTTTCCACATTACACTGAGGTCACCCTGGTTTCGCCCCACACTTGTCCCAGGATGAATGGATGCTGCTTTAACAAGGGATAAATGCAAGGTATTGTGTCGCGAAGTCTGATGAAACCAGGAATGAGATCCAAGTGCGGAAAGGACCTCTGTCCCCCAGCTGCCATTGCTGGGAAAATAGGGTTGCACTTACAGTAACTGTTGTTCATAGAGTGGTCAATTGTGCAGTCACCCATGGTTAACTGCACAAACACAGGTCTGTCACACAGAGATTTTGAAGCTCGAAAGCTCTATAGGGTGCTCCTTCCCCCCTCCTCCACACTGCTTTTCATCTTTTCCAGCATAAAAGGAGAGGGCAGAATGCCGTCTCTCAGTTCCCTCTGCTGCCACTGGAAAGCGCTATTCTTAATACTATAACCATTACAGATCACAGTGGGGCAAGAAGGAAGGGATGTGTGATTGCACAGATGACCACTTGATGAATAACAGTTACAGGTAAGTGCAACTCTGTTTTCATCATCATGGTACCTGTGCAGTCTCACAGGGGAGAGCAGCAAGCTGACTTACCAATCTGAGGAAGGTGGGTGTGAGCTATTAGTTGAATATTGCTTCGAGTTTCACCTGTCCAACAGCTGCATCTTTCTTGGCAGCAACGTCCACAGTGCTTGGCAAAAGTGCAAATGGAGGACCAGGTTGCTACCTTGCATACATCTTGTACATAATGGGCAGTGCACTTTGTACATCTTGTACATAATGGGCAGAGTTTACGCAACTTGGGGCATAATAGGATGCAGGTTACAATCCCTCGGGAAATGGACTGTATGGAAAGTTAACAGCCTGATTTATGGCCTGAATACGAGATTAATAGGTTATTGTCTCTTCTGAAACCTTTGGTTCTGCCCAGGAAGTACAGTAAAGCCCTACAGCAGGCTTCCCTGTAACATGCATATGTGTGCAATTACTCACGGATTTATACTTGTCCACACACGGCTTTTCAGCCTATGCGCAGGGGTACTTCCTCTCAGGCAGCCTCACCCTCCACTTGCCTGTGCCTGTCACCTGGCGGGGCATAGAAACTGCCCTTCACTTGCTCCTACGACGCTGCAGCCCGTGTGTGTGTGTGAGTGTGAGGGGGGGGAGGCGGGACTTTGAATCTCCCACGGGAAGCAGGAAGGAGCGATTGAGGGAGCTGTGTGTGCGTGTACACATGTGTAAGTAATCCAGGCAGGTGGGATTTTTAAAAAGTGAGGGGGGTGAGTGTGTGTGTGAGAGTGCTTATTCTTGCTTCCTGGGAAAGTCAGTCTCCTGGATTTCTGCTGTGGTTTTTCTCCTGAATAAGTCAAAGTTATTGGGGGTGGGTGCAAGGAAATAGCCTTTCTGAATTTCTTCTCCTTGGGGAAACCTGAGCAAAAAAACCCCCATGCGGAGGTGATCTCATTGTTTCTGGCAAGCCCCCTTTCCCCTGCTTTTCCCCTGCAATCTCCTCCTTTCTCTTGTAAAGCCTTGGCAGTTTGCTAAAAGTTGAGAAGCAGACTGGGAGTTTGGGGGCAGCTTTGTGTGCATGCAAGCTCAACCTCCCCCCATCTGAAAGAATCTGTCAGACCTTGTAGGAATGCCATTGTTGGAAGAACTCCGTATCTGTTCCAGGAAGGGAGAATTGGGCTTGTGGATCAGTTTTCGAGTCTACTGGGGGGGTTTTAAACAAAGAAACAAAAAAGCCTTTGCTGAAGGAAGCTACAGCATTGGCTGTTTATATTTTTGTAAATTTAGCAAGCAATTTACTTCAGTCTGATTTTCACAAATGCATACCCTACTTCTAAATGTCAGGCACCATAATTTTATCTTTGCATGGATAAGTGCATGTATTGCCTAGTCACTTGCTAAAGCACTTGCCTGAAGTTGCTATTAAAACTGCCTCTCTCAACTTTTGTAGAATGTGTTTTGTTTTGTTCCTTAGCCAGGACTCTGCACATGCTTTCAGCATGCTTTTTTCTTTCTTTCTTCTTACGCATAGTGTTAATTTCTTGTGAAGCCATTTTGACAC